ATTAATGGAACAAATAATACTTCAAATGGAAATACTGATAATACACCACCAACTATGGTACCAACGAATAATCTTCAACAAACATTATCAACAGATATGATTAAATCACCAACAACAGAGAATCATCAAGATGAATCAATAGAGAATGATACTGGTATGAACATAATCAAAGAGTTTTTATTTTTAAGTAATAAAACATAGATTTTTTTTTTGTCATATCAAGTTCGGATTCTAGATCATAATTTTCAGTTTATATCGAAATATGAATCTATATAATAGACAATTTCTGATGAAATGAAAGATTTAGTTTTATCTTTATATCTGATCATTGAATACGATCTAAAAGGAGTGTAGACCTATACGGGTAGAAATTTGGACTCCACAGACCATCAACACTCTCTCTCTCACGTCTAGAACTTGCCAAATTGGTCTCGAACCCGATCGATCTGGAAATTGTAAACTCGGCAAGATTTAGTTGTCTGAGAAATGTGTAGGATGTGCTAGTTACCTAATAAAAATAAAATAGAAAAAACTATTCGATATCGTCAAGGTAACTATCCTATTCCCAATAGAAAATTTCATTGAAAGAGTACTGAAGTACGGTTCGATCGGAACCAACTGTTTATCAATAACATCTCATGATAATATATATGAACTACGTATTGCATTTCTGAATGATTAAATAAAAGAATGCCAAAGAAATACGTTCTAAAATAGATGGAATAAATCATATTCTTTGTGATTAGCAATAACAACTGTATTGTATTTTACAGTGCACACTCATAAGACTTCCACTAACAGCTTTTTTTTCTTGTTTTAGAACATGCATCACCTGAATCGAATGAAGTCAATGAATCGAATATTGAAAATACAGATACATACTGTTCTATATGTAAAAAAGATTTTTCAACAAAATATTTATATTTTTTTCACATGCAAACAATACATAATGATACATCTGATCCAACTTATAAAACATTAATACAATTTATGAAAGCAGCTACGTCAATGAACGAAAATTCTGTACAAAATCCATTTTTATCTCTAGCAGCAACTCTTGGAAATCAATCAGTAAACACTATTGAACAACAGCAACAACAAAAACAAGAAGAAAGTGAAGATGAATCTGATGGAAATATTGAACAATTAAAACGTAAACGAAGTTTAAGTCAATCATCAACAGATTCAAATAAACGAATGAATTCTATAACAGAAACTAATGGTGGTTTACAACCATTTTTACTCGAAAGTGAAGATCCAAAATTTGCACATACATTTGTTCCTTGTATGGTTTATTTACCTGTTATACGACGAGTCACAAAACAAGTCAAAATTAATTTACGATTAAAACCTGTTTTAGCTGACGTTTCTTCTTAATATTCTTTAATAAATTAACAAAAAAATATTCATAGGAGTGTGCGTGCGTGTGTGTGTTTGTTTGTTTGTTTGTTTGTTTGCTGTTTGTTTTCATTTTTTTTCAACAATGTTTGTTTTATGTACGAAACATAAAAGTTCATTATTCATTACGTATGAATGTTGAATAGAACCATCATTTTCATCTAAATCTTGAAGAAAACATACAAATAATGTTTTTATTGCCATATCATAAGCACTAAAGAAAAGACTTGTGATAAGATAAGTAATTAATAGAATAACAACAATTGGTATCTAAAGAAGAATAAGTTGATTATATTCATCTGTTCATTGTAGATATTGATAAAATAAATACTTTACAAAATGAATAAGATGTAATTCAGAAATTATCGAATCAGTTTTTTTTCTACTTCACTACAGATTTCCGTATTGTGTTGCATTGTAAAAATGTAATGTTGACAGATGAAAATTGTAGCATCTCATTGGAAGACCGAATAACAATCTCTACCTTTGGACTATCTTGCACTGTGATGTGTAATCAAGTGGCAAATTTAATAGCCTGAGATTTTTCTACAACGAATATTAGGTATGATTGGAGATGGAAGGCCAGTCTCATATAGATTTTGGGAGCTCAATTGCTTGAGCTCACCATACACACTAATTAATTACATAATAGCCACAAGCGTATGTAGACAGCATGATGATATCGAATGGATAATCCGAAACCAACAGTCGTCCATAGCTCATGATTAGGAGGGAGAAGTAGAGTGATTTTCCCCTCCTAATTTTTTGCTTGTGTTTTGCCTTTCTCCCAGGAAATTTTCTGTTGTGGATAGCTAACGGTTTTTAATCTTTCGGTGGACCAGATTGGCTATGCAAAAGCGAAGTTCTTTTTCCAATTTGTTAAAGAGAACAAGCTATTTTCTCTCAAAGAGAAACTGAAACAGATCAAGGAGAAAATAATCTAGGTTGCCACTCCAGCAAAGCTCGATTAGAAAATGCGGCTGACTGAACGAGTCCGAACAATGCCAGAACACAATTGTATATAATATCTGCTGTTTCAAAATGTTACACTCGCATAGAGAAAATCATTATGAAATTAAGTCACGTTCAAATATCTTGACTCAGTTGAGAAGTAAGAGAAAATGAATCTGAATCAGCTATTACCATATAAGGAATCTATGAATTGTTAATTATTGTTTTACGCATATTTTATATCTCCCGAATATCGTCGAATTACAAAAAAAATCAGATTTCAGATGCACACTCGTCCCAATCTCAGGGTCGTGGCAAGCTTTTCCATGAGACAAGGAGACGATCTGATGAGAAGATCAAATGACTGACTCAAAACGAGACTCATGTGTGAAATAGATAACGAGATTATGAAAAGTTTCAGAGAGAATATATTTTTCTGAAAAAAATTGATAGATGTATAGTTTCTCTGCAGCTTTGGGAGACTTTCTCCCTTAAATCTTCACCCTTCTAAGCAGAACCAAACGAAATCTATGTAGTCGTTAGTGACTTGTCCAGGATCATTCTATGACTGGTGGTATTGAGCTTTGAATATCTTACTTTGTGGATACATATAGAAAAATGCAGCCACTTGGTCATGGTGGCTGAAAATAGTGGCAGGATGATGCATCAAAATGGAGCGGGGGGCGTGACATGAATATGCTGAAGGGTCTTGAACGAGACAAATTTTTTGATCATTCCATACTTCTCAAGTACATCGAAAAATTTATTGCTTCTCTCGAAGATTGAATGTTGAAATGCAAATCGAACCCAAGCAGTTGTGAGTGGATTGTTGTCAGAATGTCCTATTAAAAGTTTACCAACACTGATCAAAATAATCGGCTTATCAAATATAACCCTTTTTGAAATTTATAGCAAAAGTAGAAAAGTTCACTTGTGAAATGTTCCTTCGTCAATCATATTTACTTTTTGCTCGTTCTGTTCTTTTTCAGCACGAATGAGATGAGTTGAAGGGTGAGATATTTAGCAAATAAGACTCATCTCACTTTTTAGCTCGCAAAAATTGGGAATGTAGGAAGAAATAGTAATTAGATCGGAAGAAAATAGAAGACATTTTAAAAATGTTTTTATTAAGACCATAGTTAGACGAGAACATCAGGACTTACAAGTCGTTTTGTGTAGTCCATGACTGAATCTCAGAAATATTGCTCAATTGATGATGTCCGATTTCATTCGTTTTTACAGTTGTTATAGAAGCAAGAGTTTTATGAATAGGACATATTTCGAGTAGACATGCACAGATTGAGCTAAAAAATTTTCTGATTCTATATGACAAGCTACTCTGCTCACAAAAAATGTTTCAGTCCAACTGATCAATGCATTGATATTTTGTGCATATCGTCTATTGAGTATCAAACACTCATTTTTGCCACGCTTGGAAGTTTTTCTCTTGATTATTGAAAGAGCTGCAGAGCTCAAATTATTTTTACAAGTTGACAGCGATGAGATCTTTCTACAGTAAAAGTTTCAACTTTCCAGAGAGTAGAACTTGCAATAACTTAGCAAAATGATTATTATCCCGAACTGACAACTAAGAAGAGCAAGCAGAAAAAGACAACTTCATCGCACATTGAAAAGCTGAATTAAATATTATGTAGTATAACAGTTGGCAATATTTAACTTTCACACATTTATTGACAACAACAGTAATATCTAGAATATAGTCATTATTCAAGTCGAAGACTGTTATTGAAGATGGCGAAGAGTCGACTCCTGTTGAATATGTCGTTACAATAGAAAAGTTTCCACATCCATCTCCAAGAAAGATACTGATGCAATTGGTCGCCAAATTGGCAACTATCAGATCTGCCAGCGTATCATTGTTAAAGTCTCCCACAGCAACCTATTGAGAACTTGATCCATTATCAGTGAAAAAAGCTCGTTGACTTGAAAAGTCTCCGTTGCCTTGGTTAATGAAAAGACCAACATTGTCATATTCTTAATTGGCAACTGCAAGTGAATAAGGACGCGTGTTTATTCCAGTCGAATAGATGATCTGATTAAGCTACAATTGTCTTTTATTACAGCGAAGTACCACTATGTTATGCGACTGAAAATTGACGACAACAACATCTATTGATTAGGCTGTCATTGTTGAAATCACCTAAGGCGAGCCCTGTTGGACCAGATCCATTTCTAGCTGACCATGTCATGCGTTAAGTAAAATTGTCGTTGCCATAATCGAACAGAATACTTATGTTGTTGTGTAGATTGTTGGCGACCACTATGCTCAAATGAATGTTGTTATTGAAATCATCGACATCAACTGCTATTGGACGAGATTCGGTGCTTGTGGAATACTTGCTTTGTTCTACAAATGTTCCATCACCATTTCCAATGAAAACAATAATATTCGCAGTCATAGAATTCGCAACAACAAGATCTAACATAGTATCGTTGTTGAAATCATCAGCTGTAAGTGACAGAGGAGAAGAACTGAATCCAGTTGAATAAACTGTCTGGTTTCCAAAAGGGCCATCACCATGTTCCAGTGATATAATCAGGGTGTTCATTTTATAACACACTATGGAATTCCGATCTCGTCGGTTCTCTCATTGACTATAACAAGATCGAGTCGAGTGTCATTGTTAAAATTACCAGAAAAAATTCGAATTCGGATGAGAACCATTTCCCGTCAAATAAGTCTCTTGTCTTGCAAAAGTTCTATTTCGATATTCGACAAGTAAAATGATACTGTCATTTCTTGAATTGGCAACCAGAATATCGGTAAAATTGCCGTTGTCAAAATCATCGACACTTAAATATTGAGGATAAGAACCGAGGCCTGTTGAATAGATTATTTCACCCTCAAAAGTTCCACGTCCTGATCCTAATCGAAGACTTATATTAGTATGAGCTGTGTTGGCAATAGCAATATCGGATAGGTTATCTTTATTGAAATCACCAACTGAGACTGACGATATATGTGGATCAGAACCAGTGGAATAGATGACATAATTCAACGTATCGGCCATGTCAAGTCCAAGAATTACAGCCATACTGGCTGCTTCAATGTCTTGGAACTGTCTCCCATTAAATAGCTTGATTGTCTCAGAAAACTATCATTTCCAAATCCAAAATATACAACTACTAAGTTGACATCTAAGTGAGTCACTACAAGATCTAGTTTATCATTATGGTCGCCAATTCTGACACCAACAATATCGGCATTCTACTTGGATACAGCAACGGATCATTTATGACGCAGCGAACCATCTC